TCAATATGGCTGGTGCAAGACCCCCCCCATATAATTCAAGCACAACTTTGCAAAATGCACCAGGTTCTCATCCCAGAAAATAGCACTATTTTAAAAAACGGGGTGGGGACTGTGACGCAATTTGCAAGGGTCAACATCGTAGCCCTAAAGTAAGAGCAGTAGCTGGCTGCATATCTGCTGGATAAGCAAGTTTTCTTTCTTTCTTCCTAGTCTTTTGTGTGTTTGTGCCTGGAAATCATGGTTGACTTCTGACAACCTCTAGTGGGGCTTGGATGTTTCAGAGAGGTGTCTTGCTATTGCCCGCTTCTGCATCCCAGCCCTAGTATTCCTTGGAGGTCTCCCTTCCAAGTACTTGCCAGGGTCAGCCCTCCTGGGCTTCTGAGATCTGACGAGATCAGGCTTGCCTGGGCTATCCAGGTCAGGGCGATAAGCAAGTTTTCAAAAGGCAAATCTTATACCCTGATGAAGACTCTTGAGAGTCCCTTGGACTGCAAGAAGATCAAATCAGTCAATCCTAAAAGAAATCAACCCTGACTGTTCCCTGGAAGGCCAGATAATGAAACTGAAGCTCAAATACTTTGGCCACCAAATGAGGAGGGAGCACTCACTGGAGAAGACCCTGATGCTGGGAAAGATTGAAGGTCAAAGAAGAATTTATTTTGGGTAAGGGAGAAAGCCATGGAAGTGCAACGTACCAAGATCATATTCTCCTCCTTCCAATACACACAAAGGCTCACCTTGCTTCCTAGAAACCTTCATTTTCACTTCAGGAACACAATGCATTTCTTCCAGCTTTTTATGGTTCTTCAGCCTCCAGCATCTCATGAGAACCCAAAGGAACGCCATGCTTGGAAAATGCAAATTATTCTAGCATGAATCTATAGGATAAGCCTGTTCCAAAGGCTGTGCTATGTTCATTGATACCAGCTGGGACTGCAAGATACAGACTCCTCCATTTGCATAATCCCATTCTCCTAATGAGACCTTTAACACCAATGAAAGCAAAACAACTAGACTTACAGCTAATCTTTACCAGCCACTTGGGGGGCAGAGACTGCGCATTCTAGCAGTTCATCATACTTCTCCAAGCACCCAGCCAGCTTCCTCAGGCATCTGTAGTGGAAATTCATCCATACAAATGCTACAAGAGGTAGAAGATGCTTTGAATATGGACACTCCACATTCAGTTTGGTGCTGAAGTTAGACTTCATTAGCCAAGTGCTTCACAAATAAAGTGACAGCAACCTGTGTCTGATACCTCCACCATAAGCTGCAAGGCACCCCCCACCCCAAAAAGGACAAGCTCAATGACAGCAGCAAAGTATGAGCTCCTTGTCAGTGCAGGAGTCTGGCAAAAACAGACTTTTAAACTGTGCTTAGATTCACTAGAAAAGAGCAAAAGGCCTGAAAGCACCTTAAAGACTAACAGAGCAAGCGAGCGAAGTTGAGGGAGGTGACTCACAAAAGCTCGTACCATGCCACAAAGTTTGTCGGTCTTTAAGATGCTTTACAGAGCTACTGGACTCCCTTTTCTACTGCTAGGTAAAGGTTTCCCTTGCTCGAAAGCCAGTCGAATCCGACTCTAGGGTTGCGGTGCTCATCTCCGTTTCAAAGCCAAAGAGTCAGCGCTGTCCAAAGACGTTTCCGTGGTCATGTGGCTGGCATGACTAAACACCAAGGCGCACGGAACACTGTTACCTTCCCACCGAAGTGGTACCTATTTATCTACTTGCAATTTCTTGCTTTCGAACTGCTAGGTTGGCAGGAGCTGGAACTAGAGACAGGAGCTCACTCTGTCATGCGGCACACTCGGGTCTCGAACTGCTGAACTACCGACCTTCCACAGCCCGCAGTTCAGCGTCTTAACCACTTGAGCCACCGCAGCTCCTTTTCTACTGCTACAGACAGATTAACATGGCTACCCAGTTTAAAGATGGCAGGGTATGAGCTTTTGTGAGTCATTGCTCACTTCTTCAGATATCTTATCAGATTCATATCTGCAGAAGTGAGCCATGAGTCATGAAAGCTCAGACCCTGCCACAAATTTTGTTAGTCTTTAAGGCACTACTGGACTCTTGCTCATTTCTACTGCTACAGGCAGACTAACATGGGCTACCCATCTTAAGATTCACTGCAAGTCTTCTGCCATGTTTATACTATAGCCGCTGTCTCTGATAGTATGGTGTAGTGGTTAAGAGCAGCAGACTCTAATCTGGAGAACCAGGTCTGATTCCCCCAGTTCTCCTCCACATGAAGCTAGCTGGGTGACCTTGGGCCAGTCACAGTTCTCTCAGAACTCTCTCAGCCCACATACCTCACAAGGTGCCTGTTGAGGGGAGAGGAAGGGAAATGTGATTGTAAGCCACTTTGAGACTCCTTAAGGTAGAGAAAAGTGGGGTATAGAAACCTTCTCTTCTTATTTTATTTCATTGTCCTCAGAAAAACTAAAAAGCAGGTCCAATTCTGATCAGTCAAAGGGTATAATTGGGATTTAATTGCGTCAACACCTCGGGGGGAATTCCATCTTCCGGAGAACAAGCAGAATCACACCTGAACAGCCAATCACACCAACCAAGAAAGGCCCAACTAGAATTCCATCAAATTCCTCCCTCTCATCCTAACTGGTTCTCCAGCTCTGAAAGCAGTCAAGCCCCAATCATCCAATCGGGAAATGATCCAGTCCATGACAATATAGTCATTATAAACAATGTTCCCCACAGATTATACGCTGTACACATGACTGGCAATATGCATTTCATCAGGCGTACATTAGGCGAGGCTGTTGAATTTCTAAGCCACATTTGACAAGACAGTCTTAGCATCAAGTCTGTTGTTTCCAAGGACTGATGACCTCAAGATCTTCCAAGATCATGCCATAGGTTATCTCGGTCAGGCCCGGAAGTCTTTTAGGCACTGAGGTAGGGAAGCAGTATCACAGAACCCTTCTCCTGCCTTCAGTGACCAACACTCAACACATGCTCCACACAGATCAAAGGGCATGTGGGATGCCTGATAAGGATCACAGGCAGTATCACAATGCACAAAGAAATGCAAGCTTTTAATGCAGGATAAATGGCTAAACAAATGCATGGGTTTGCTTCGTTTGCCAAAGCAGAATTTCCGTTTTCCCCACTGCACATATTACGGCTTGAAGTCAAAATAGTTGAACTGCTTATTAGGTTAGAATATGATGCACGCCGCTCAGGGAAAGGGATTGAACACTGGCAGTTTCTTCAATGCATTTGCTGCCAAAGTTCATTGGCACCCTCTACTGGTGAAGTGCTTAGTTACAATGCTGTCTATGGGCACATCTAGCTCCACTACTTCCAACAGAAGTACATCAGAATATTAAACCATTGTATGACCACCACCAGTGTTCCCTCTAAACTGAGTTAGTGTGAGCTAGCTCACAGTTTAGCCCCTGGCTCACATTTTTGTCTCCGCTCAGGAAGGATGGCTCCAGAGCCAACTAATTTATGCAGTAGCCAAGTCACTCGCTCACAACTTTAATGCCAGTAGTCCACAAAGTAGAATTTTTGCTCACACAACTCCACAGCTTAGAGGGAATATTGACCACCACCCTCTTGGGTTTTTAGTGTTTTTTCTTTACTTTCTCCTGTAGTTTATAGTTTCCCATCCCTATTTTTCTTGTAGTGTTTTAGAAAATAATAATAAAAAATAATAATAAAAATAAAATATTAAACCACATTGACAGCGTGAATTCCTGACATATACCCAACCAAGTACTACCTCAATTGCCTCTTTACTGGTGAGTAACCAACAAATGGTGGATTTTGTGGAGCGGGATTTCCCCACTTCCACCCACTGAGCACCTCCATCCCCCAAACCTTCTTCCTGTCGGTCAGCTGAACCACAGGAAAAGTACAGGGGGAAGTGGAGGTCTGCAGCAGAAACAAATAGAATTGGCACAAATCCTGGCCTCCTGAATAGCATGGTTGGACAGCATTATGGCGCATGGAAAAGAGAGGTGCTGCAACAGTGCTCACATTTCACGATCTCAGTACGCAAGAATGAAATGGCTACCGACATTAACCCATCACCTGATATTATCTCCAGGGTTAGAATGTTTGTATAAAACATTCACACCAAGCAAGTGTAATTCAAGGAGCTTCCAGTTTCGGCAGCTGCAACGACTTGCCTAGCTACAGTTCAAGGATGCCACTAAAACTCAGAATATCAAGCTTGCATTTCCTGACTTCCCTTTAAGGCTTTCGCATCAGACACAATATGCATCAACAGAATAAATATGCTTTTTTTACTATTAACCATGCAGAAATGGGTGGCCAATCAAAGAAACTTGCCCAGGAATACCTGCCTGTAGAGCCAGAGGAATTACCTAGTTGGAAGCACTGTGTAGGCATATCAAGCCTCAGGATGAGAATATAAACCACTTGTCATAAATACATTTCCAGATAGTAAAAATGGTTTTGTGTTGCTTGCTCATGTTTAGCGGCACTGTATTTAGAACATCCTTGGAATTACTCTGCACACTGGGGGAATGAGTCAGCTGAGGGTGCAGCCCATCCTCAGCATCCAGCATTCCTTCAGGGCCCACGCAAAATCCCATCAACGCTTCCCCTCCCTCGTTCCAAACAAAAACAGGAAAAATCTGTCAGGAAGCAGGATCAAATGAGGCTGGCAGGGAATAGAAGTACGTCTCTGAATAAGGTATAAGTCAACGACCATTCAAAGTGGGCAGAGGAAATTTCTGTATGCCCAGCCTCAATAGATAGGCCCACCTCTAAGCATCAAATGCAGTTACAGCACAGTAATATTAATGCACACTTTTTATTATATTAAAATCAGGCAATGGTCTGATACAATAAAAAGGCTGCTTATGGAATACTGTTATTATTATTTTTAATTACAGAGGATGTTAAATCCTTACAACTAATATCGTCTTCAAAAGAGTTAATGGTAACATCAATTATTCATTGACTGGATAGCTGCTACTTTCAAATGTGACTTTTTAATTGTTATTTTTTTTTTTACACAAACACTGAATTCCCCCCCGTCAAACTTAAAAAGAGGACACACTAGATTGTTTGCATTTTAAGCTTGCGTCCACGTTTCAGCGGTCAGTGGTCCAAAACAAGAAGTCCGAAAGGGAAGGGATTTGCCAGGAAGCGTTGTCAACTGCGGTCCCTAACCCCGCTATGGGTGGCGTTGCCGTCCTCCTCTTTAAGAAGGCGTTCTCATCTCTCCAGAGGGTTGCGACAAAATCCTCTCTCCACCGAGTCGATTTGTCTGTTAAGGGGCCAAAAGTTTTACATGCACACAGACGAGCCGCTGACACGGCTTTCAATGGCGATAACTGACCTTTGGCTGGGGTGTGTGTGTGTGGAGAGAAAAAGAACTGGAGCGTTTACTGCTGATTTCTGTTTTTTAAAATCCCTGTAATATTTGGCCACGCTTAGCAAGCTTGAGTGATCCTGGTAAATGACAGCTCTTTTCGCCATTATCAAAAGCCTATCTAGTAACATCAGCCATGGCCAGCTTGGTGGCATGGAAGCAGAGCCAAAGGGCAAGAAGGGAAGGATGCTTGCAAACCAGGAATAAACAACAGCAACACCTGGACACTCTTGTTTTCCCAGGCTGGTGAAGACGAAATCCACAGCTTTAGAAAAGAAAGAAACAAACAGGCTGTCTTGCCAGTCACTTAGACCTCTTTTTTTGGCCAGGGGTGTAAAGAAAAGCATCACAGGAGGGGCAAAAAGAAAGCAGCACCCCAGCTATGACAGGAAAGAGGAAACATGGGAAGCAACCCCCACCCCAGCCAAGAACTCTCACCCCACAAGGCCGATGCTGTTGGGAAAGGGTGTGGTGCAGAAATACAATCTATGCCTTCGCCTGAAGGTTATAGTTAGAAAGAAGGTCTTGCCTCCCCCTTCGCCTGAAGGTTATAGTCAGAAAGAAGGTCTTGCCTCCCCCCAAAATTAATGGGGCAGACTGTAAAAAAAGGGGGAAAACCACCCACCCACTAGAGACATTCAGCCTCTACTAGAGCCTGCACAAAGGAAGGGATGACTGAGGATGCCACTGCATCCTGTTAGTAGTCTGTACACAGCCCAGTGCAGAACCGGGAACTGAAGCCCCTGGGCACAATCTTCTCAAGAAGTTCCCCTGCCGGAGCTCTGTTACAATTAATGAATGGGAGGCTGCCCGAATGCTGCAGTCCCCATTCTCGTCTCCAGAGGGAGCCAGAGCAGCGGAGCTTCCTTGCCGATTGTGCCCTTCGCATCTACTCTAATAAATAGCCCTGAGCACCCCACTCTATTGCAAACAAGAGAGACAGAGAAAGACAGAGGGTAAGAGGGCAGAGAGAAGAGAGACAGACCCAGGCAAAGCGCACAGCAATGTGATTGTGTGACGTATGCTTCTTCTTTTTTCACAGTTGAGTTCAATGTGCCACACCAGTCTTTTGACAGTAATCGATTTAAATATAGACTTTTTTCCTTGATACCAGAGGTTCAACTATGTGGACAGTGGTTAACACATGACAGGATTATTTGTTATAGCACAACTTATTTTCAAAACGGGGAAAAAAATAATTAGTATCATTTACAGTATGTCAAGAGAGGCTTTCCTTTGAATGGGAACTTTCTTTCCAGTACTTGGAGGTCTACAAGATGCATCTAGAAAATTTACTACTGTGGAAAATGAGAAGAGCTTAAATTGAATGAAGGGGCATGATTTTTTTTCCCGTTTGTTTTTATTAATTACTGTAACATTGTCCTTCGGGTGGTTGAGGGAGTTTCATATTTTCTTTAGACATCATTAGACGTCGCAGCTCCTGCAGAACTACTTTGATACTATAAGAATTCAGCCATTTTGCTAGGACTGATATGGCTCTGGGATCCACCTACAAGCAAATACAAAAAAGACCACAACAGTTAACCTCAAGCAGCATCCTCTCTCTTTTGACACTGGAAGAAACAAAAGACACCCTGGCCAAGATCCAAAGAAGGCACAGCTAGCATCTGCCTGCCATTTGCAAGATAAAAAGAACTTGTATGTGTCTAAAGCAGCTCTTTTGGAATGTTACCAAGGGGTTTTTAACTAGTTTGAGTCAGCCAATGATGCAACTATTTTTTTTTTAGTCAATGAACATCAATTATTTGTTGGGGTGAAAGTTGAGAGCCATTTTGGGGGTGGGGGGTGTGGTCTATCCTGAGTCCAGTAGCACCTTAAAGACTAACAAAATTTCTGACAGACAGTCCCTAAAGGAAATCAAGCCCTGACTGTTCCCCGGAAGGACAGATACAGAAGCTGAAGCTCAAATACATGAGAAGGGAACACTCACTGGAGAAGACCCTGATGCTGGGACAGACTGAAGGACAAAGAAGAAGGGGACGGTGAAGGATGAAACGGTTAGACAGTGTTATCGATGCAACTGACATGAAATTAAGCAAACTCCGGAGGACAGGAGGGCCTGGCGTGATGTGGTCCATGGGGTCGTGAAGAGCCTGACTTGACTGTGCAACTGAACAACAACAAATGAGCATTTGTGAGTCTGAAGAAGTGAGCAGTGACTCATGAAAGCTCATCCCCTGCCACAAATTTTGTTAGACTTTTAAGGTGCTACTAGACTCTTGCTCTTCTCTACTGCTACAGACAGACAAACACGGCTACCCATCTTGAGTAGCTCTGGTTTATAAACTGAGCTCTTATGTATGCCTCAACGTATCAAGCAGACATCTGTACTGAAGTTATGAAAATGTGCTGATTTAAAGTGATCAGTTAACAGATGGCTAATCAAACAGTTGTTTCGTCAGCAGACGGTCCTAAAAACAAAGATGTTCACTTTTATGCTTAACGCCAACAAAATATTACATGAAAGGTTTTTGTTTTTTAAAAGGAAAGCCCGAAACTTGAGCTCGAAGAACATATTAGGCTGTTTCCACATAGCTCTCATTGTTGCTGTGAATGCAGAGGCATCCGCGCCGCCAACAGAACATCTACACAGCAGCTTTCCTTGTACTTTCCGTTTCTCAGCCCCTTGAGTTGCCATGTTATCACTTTTTTGGGGTGTGTGTGTGTTAAAAATAAAATTGGTAACTGATTGCTCCCTATAGCACAAGATTACACAATCTAGTGTCACAATCGGCTAGCTCTCATCTTTTTTAAAAAAAAGTCTCTAGACCTTGTTATTGGGAAGCTGTAATGGGAAAGGCATGCAATCTGTCAAATTATTGCCTTGGTTTTTAAAAAGCCCCTCCCCCAGGTGTTTGTCACAGGCCGGGAAAATAGCGGCTTCCGGGCCTGAGGCAAGGAAAACAGCACTGATCTAGGTCAGATCTGAAAAAGTGCATGCGTCCCTGTCCACACAGCATCCAAATTCAATTTGTCTGTGGTCTTGCCCAAAAGATCCTGCCAAACCCGGTTTGGAAAAGATCACAGCAAAGTGGGAGAAAATAAGAGAAAGACGTGTCATCATGTGTGCACTCCCCAAAACAATGCTGCAGACAGGAAGTCAAGGCCGCATAGGACATCCATGTGGAAACAGCCTTACAAGCATGACACTCTCTTCGATGTTAAGCAATGTTAGTACTGAGCAGAGAAGAAACTTACCACTCCATTAGAACTATTTACTCCATTCATATTAATTTTCGTTACAAATCTTACAAATGGAGGTGCTTCGGGATATTTAGGCCCACATTCTATTTTAAGGCTGTATATTCTGTTTTCATAAATTGTCTGGAAGAGAAAAACATCTGTGTCAGATGATTCATCACTGAAGGAGGGTCACATCCAGGAGATCCACAGAATGAACAGATTCATGACAGAAAGACATCTGGCAATGCAGATCGCTCCACTGGAAACCCCCATGCGATTGAATCAAGACCTTGGCTGAATCGGTTATGTCCTACCACCCACACTTCACCCACTTCTAAGCACATTTGGTTCAGTTTTGTGATGATCAGGTCACTTAGGGGAAGGAGGCAGCGGAGGAAACTGTACCTGTGGATGGAGGGAAGACCTGCAAATCAGCACTCCACTAAAGCAATCATAAGTGAATACAAGAACGTAAGCGAAGCCGTGTTGGACCAGACCAATGGCTCATCTAGTCCAGCACTCTGTGTGGCCAAAACCAGGTGCCAAACCTGGATCCATTTTTTGCTTCTGGTCAAACGTGTCACCAGTTTTCTTTTGGTCTCCCCAGAGCGACGCAAGTCCTTGGTCCATTTGGGAAGAAGAAGGGAATTACCAAGCCTTTCTCCCACAAGCTAAGAAGAAGAGGAAGAAGAAGAGATTGGATTTATACCTCGCGCTTCACTACACATTGGATTTATACCCCGCCCTTCACTACCCAAAGGAGTCTCAGAGCGGCTTACAAACTCCTTTCCCTTCCCCTCCCCACAACAGACACCCTGTGAGTTAGGTGGGGCAGAGAGCTCTTTCAAGAACTGCCCTTTCAAGGACAGCTCTTGTCAGAACTATGGCTTGCCCAAGGTCATCCAGCAGCTGCAAGAGGAGGAGTGGGGAATCAAACCCGGTTCTCCCAGATTAGAGTCCGCGCACTTAACCACTACACCAAACTAAGCACCCTATTCACAGACCAGGACCCAAGTTCATATGGAAGATAAGACGTGATTTATCAGGGGCATGTTCAGACTTGATTTCTCTAAGGGATCATGAAAAAGGGCACCCTACATTAGACAGTCCAAATTTACCTGGTATGCTGACCCATCCAGGGCTGGCTCAAGGTTGTTTGGCACCCTTAGGTAAACTATGACCAAAGTGCCTATCTAGGCCAGCATTCTATTTTCTACAGTGTCCAACCAGATGTTTTGGGAAAACTAACAAACACTGCACAAAGGGCACAACTACTCCCAAGCAACTGGCTTTCCAAAGTACACGGACTTCTCATATGGAGATTACATTCCAGCCCCCTTCTTTTCCATTATTCCCTCTAATCCACTTTAAGATTCTAAGAAGCTCCAGTAACCATCAGGACACATTTTACCTAATTCTTTATCAATCAATCAGCACCCCTAAAGTTAGAAGGCAGCCAAGGCTTTGTTACTGCTGGGTAACCGCTTAGTGCCAAGCATTTATACCACCTTCATCAGTGCCTATACTGCAATACAAGGAAAGATTTAACGTGCACATTACTGATGAAGTACTAACATTAAGAGGTCTCCATTACAGTGACCAACCAAGTCTATTCAAACAACAGAACAAAGTTTGAGTCCAGTGGCACCTTTAAGACCAACAAAATCCTATTCAAGATAAATGCCTTGATTTAAATTTACACCTTGAATAAAACTGCTGGTCTTAAAGGTGCCGCTGGACTCAAACTTTGTCCTGTTGCTTCAGACCAACATGGCTACCCACTGGGATTCATCCAAACAACATGTCACTCATGGGGGAGGAGTTACAAGGGGGTCTCCTCTTCTTCTGAGTGTTCACCAGGCTCCCCACTGAGGTCGACTACCTGAAACCAGGGGAGCCTCTCCCTCATCTACTCCTTCTCTGCTAGCTGAGCCACAGCTGAATGTGAGGAGGCAGGCAGGCGGGCAGAGGCACAACCGACTGAGGAAACGTGTGAAGATGGCAGCAAAGGGGCTGTTGGCGAGGGGCTTAGTGCAGGACATCTCCCATACCAGGTGGAGGGCTGGGCAAGCTGGGCAAGGGGCTGGGCAAGCGGTCAATCTGCTGAAGGAGCAGCACCAAGACAGAGCCCACTCACACACACTTCCCCTCCCTTCTCTGGCCAGTTTGGTGCAGTGGTTAATTGCATGGACTTTAATCTGGGAGAAGCGGGTTTGATTCCCCACTCCTCCACTTGCAGCTACTGGATGACCTTGGCCAAGCCATAGTTCTGTCAGAGCTGTGCTTGAAAGAGCAGTTCTCGAAAGAGCTCTCTCAGCCCCACCTACCTCACAGGGTGTCCGTTGTGGGGAGGGGAAGGGAAAGGAGTTTGTAAGCCGCTCTAAGACTCCGAGTGAAGGGCAGGGTATAAATCCAACCTCTTCTTCTTCTTCATGTGCTCAACGGCGCCTGATAACTCTCCAGCCTTTTTACCCCTCCTTTCAGCTACTATTATAAAGTTACTAGTTGCCAGAAAGCTTCCCCCCTCATTCTGGGTGCAAAGGAAGAGGGGAGGCGATAATGGAAGAAGTTCGCAAGGAGGAAGAGGAGAGGAAGTGAACCATGCAAAAGGCAGAGGGAGCCACTAGGGAGGGCTGACCTGCGACCCACTTTTGGGTCCCAACTCACAGGTTGGGAAACACTGCTTTAGAGGCACACTGAGCTCTTCAGTGTAAGTTACTGAGTTCCAGAGACCCTTTGCTGCATCTGCTTCATCATCTTTCTCCCACAAACTTAGATGTACTACCATATGGTTCTTATATGGGCAAAGCACAGAGAGCTCATCTAGACAGCAGGAGACATACTAGATTGCAACCAATTCTGGCAGGAGAAACAAGGTGATTTGTGCAGCTGATCTTCTCCTTCATTCCTTTGTCCCAAACATCACAAAGCTGGAAATATCTTCATATAACACCATGACTCATGCTCAGACACTGCACCACAGGATTAAGTACCAATTACAGCAAAATGAGAGCCAGTCCTGAAGACTGTGGAATTTACACCACAATTAAAAAAAAAAATTACGGGAAATGACTGCATTAACTCAAAAACAAGAAAATTAAAAATGCTGGGGGAAGGGCTTTTTAGAAGGGAGGAATCACTTACAAGTTTACCAGTATGCAAAGTTGCCCCCATTCTATAACTGGCGGGCTCTGCACAGGGATGGGGGCTGTACACAGAGGCCTTTAGAATATACTTTTCATCCCTCGTTCTACAGTTCACTTGGTATGACTGTTCCAGTGCAGCAGATTGCAAGCAAAAAAGACTAGCGAACCAAATCCAACAGAAATCTATTTTTAAAAATGCATTTTATGAGGAAATCAGGTTTTCGGTATATCTTTACTGCTGCTTACTCTTGGAGGCCCAATGATCATGCCTGTCCATCTTGTGAGGGTCATATCTTCATCATCTTCAAGACCCCAGCTAACTGTGCCATCGCCTACTCCTTTCTGGCCTTCTTCAAGTTCTTCCAACAGTCGAAAATTACGAGGAACTTTTACTCCTTAAAAAAAGAAAAGAGGCATCAGAAGCTTTTGAGATAAGAACATAAGACTGGCAAGCTGGACAGTGGCTTTGGGAATTCTGCCAAACGTTTCAATCACTGTTAAGTGGCACTGTTAAGAGAAGCAAAGAAAGGGGAAAGAATACTAACGTGCAATTATTTTAGTTAGCATAAGCTGTAAGAGGAAGAAGGCTCCACACTATAAGAAGCTAACAATTTGCATCTAAAGTTTCCTCCTGCAGATGATGCGCATTCAGTTGCATGGAGAAGTTACACTGGGTATCACAAGTAGAGCTCTGCCAGCTGGGTGCAATGTGGGAGTCTGCAAGTGGGAAATCACTTCCGGCTCCTCCAAAGGTGGTAAATCCCAGTCTTGGACCCACATCTAAATCTTAGTACTAATAACGGGTTAACAGAATGGGGACAGCTCTCCACACAGCATGGAATTCATCCATAACTCCCAAACAGTGCTGGGTGCGATGTGGGAGTCTGCAAGTGGGAATTAGCAAAAATCACTTCCCGCTCCTCCAAAGGTGGTAAAGGTCTCATCCCAGTCTTGGACCCACATCTAAATCTGAGTACTAATAACGGGTTAACAGAATGGGGGGAAGAGAATTTTTCTGGTATTTAATTTCTACTGCAGAACAGCAACCTTAGGCTAAAAATGTAGATGCTGTCATCAGATGTACAGAATATATATTGCAGGTGGTCCAGGCTGTGGCACTCACAACCAGTGAGAGGAAGCTCTTCCACAGAGGTAGTCGGGACAAAGTTTGTTGGTCAAAGCTGCCACTGGACTCAAGCCTTGTTCTGTTGCTTCAGACCAACAGGGCTGACCACCTGGATCTATCTTCCTGAGAGGCAGTCAGGGTCCTTAACCTTTTTGAGGATTCCTGGTGGGAGGGGCTTCTCCCTTGGTCTCCCAGGGGGTTGTTAACTGTGCTTGTTGAAGTGCACACGGACTCCTTTTTCTGCTTCTAACCCACCCACCCCCCATTTGAAGGTCTCTCTAGGCTATTTTCTCTCAGCCACTGCTGGGAGCTTGGGATGGGCTATCCATTTGAGACAACACCCCCCCACACTTTCACTCCCCAGAAGGGGAGGAAGGCCATGGGGGATTCCATACTTTGGCCAGGAGTTTTCCTGTTGCTCCCTCCAAAGTAGTAGAGGAGTGTTGGCAGCTGCCAAAGAGAAGTGTCACCCAATCTCCCACCAGATGAAGAGGAGACAAAGAGGCCAGGCAAAGCCGCACTTGTTTCACCCATACAAGGGATGGATGGATGGATGGATGGATGGATGGATGGATGGGGTTGGGGCCTCATCAATTCCTACCACATTGCCCTGTGTTTCTGGGAGCCTGTGGCAAAACGTCCCTTTATGCCATCACCGGACCGGGTAAGCAGGGACCAAGACTGGCAAAAGACACACCCCCCCCCATTGGGGCCAAGGGAGGTAAGAGAGGCATGTGCTGGGATAGCTGATTTTGGAGTGTACAAAAAACCTTTAGAGGGAGGAGGGCTTTCTCCCTAGCCCCTTCTCCCTTCTAATTCCAGGGAACAGGACCAGCACTTCTCTAGCCAGGAAAAAACCAGAGCAATTGCCAGTGCCTGATTTATCAGGTGAGAATACTCACTCTAACCTCCATTCCTGGATAAGGGAGAGATGCAGAGAGAGGTTAGCACATCTAGTATAGCATAGCATTGGCAGGACTCTGGTGTAGAGAGACCATACATAAGTCTAGAAGCTGAAGCCAGTCTCACTCTGGTTCCAGATCTCCTGGTGTGTGTGTGTGGAGAGACTAGGCACATCCAACCCTCCATATGTTCCAGTCCACTCTCCTCAGCCAAGAACCCTAGGGATCTCAGGTGGGTGCACATCTCTCTCCCCTGCAAGACACTGATAACATAGCACCTTACTGGACCCAGACTCTGAAGTCCTGGAACAGCCTTATTTCTCCTCAGCTGAGGAAAAGGAGCCCCAGATGAAGACCATGCAAAGCACATCTCTTTCCACAGGTGATTTTCGCTAAATCACTTCCCAAAGTTCTCTGTATTGTGGAGACTCCATGCAGCAAGCAGGAGCTGGAGGAACCAGACCTGGCTAGACCTGCTGGTGACTCCCAAGCAAGAGGGACCTTCTCCTTCAGGGGCCCATGCACCATCCTATCCTCAGCCAGACTGGCTAAAGCTGAAAGCCTGGAGGCTGAGCGGTGGCAGTTTTGGGAAACAGGCTATTCTGGTCAAGTCAGTAAGTCTCTGGCAGCTTCTAGAAGAAAGTCCACCAACAGAGTCTATAACAAAACCTGACAGGTCTTCTGTTCCTGGTATGGGGAGAAGCCTATTGACCTCCTTGGATGCAAGTTGGGGATATTTTGGAGTTTCTCCAAGTGGAACTAGACAAGACTTTGAGTACCAGTACCCTTAAACAGCAGATGGTGGTCATTTCTGCAATGTTGGGGCTTAAGGAAATGTGAGGCTTTTCTTTTCACTCCCACATCAAGAGGTTCCTCAAAGGGGCAGCCGTGCTGAATCCTCCAGCTATATATAGGTTTCCCATGTAGAATATGATTCTCAAGGCACTTTCTAGGGCATCTCTCAAGCCTATAGCTTTGTGTACACTAAAGGAACTCACATTCAGAACTATCTATTTAGGGGGAATCAGCCCATAGGATTTCTCAGCTTCATGCTCTTTCTGTGGATAAAAGACCACTGCGTCTTCCACCATAAAATGGTTCTGAGAATGGATCCAGCCTTTATTCCAAAAATCGACTCCTGCTTTCATAAATCAGAGGAGATTGTTCTGCCTGCATTTTGCTCTAATCCCAAACATCCACAGGAAAGGGAGTACTGGTATGTCAAGAGGGCCTTGATTTTTAATATTGATAAGGTTAAGGCCACAAAGAAGTCCAACTCCCTGTCTCTTTTAGACCATACTCTATGGGCTCCAGGGTTTCGGTGTTCAACCTGGGAAGGTGGATTAGGGACTGCATTTCTCTGACCTATATAGCTAGGGGGTTGTAACCCCAGTGGGTGTTATGGCTCATTCCCTTAGGGGAATGGGTAACTCGGCAGCACTTACGTCATGGGAAGCAAACAAAATTTCCATTCTAGAGAAGGCTGTGAATAATGTAAGACCTCTAATTGCAGGAGGAACCAGACCCAAAGAAATTCCAAGGACCTGCTATCTGTGACCCCCTTCCCATCTTTTTATGGGAGCAAGTATGGCTCCCCCCCCCCCCCCCGGGGCCATTTACTAGTGCAGCTGAAGTTACTGACTAGAGCTAATAAAAACAATCTTAAATATCTGTCTTGAACTATCAAGGCTCTTATTTAAAAGGCAGTACCCGTGTTGAAAACCACGCTGTGTGTTCTGCTTAATGATAATTTTTCCCTATCTGGTAATAAAAGTGGATTGTTAGTCTATAATATAATTACATAATTAACAGAGATCAATCAATATTTATGTTGGATGGATTTGGGAGATCTGCCAAGAAACACCCAGATAATAATTTCTACTAATGACAAAGAGGACATTTTTTGCCAAACCCTTCCCACTCCAGAATTTTATTTTGTGTCTCATGCTGTTCCTGCATACCCCCTCTCTCCAGCGAAGCATTTCAGGGACTTCAGTGGGGTGCAGTAGAAGGAACAGTAGAATTGTTTCACTAAAACAAGTGTCTCCCATCAGCAGATGATAAAGACACTATAAGAATCCAAGCCATCGCCACCTAGGCTTCTAGTTTTCAAATTTCATCTTTACTAATATTAATAATGGGAGATCACGACTACATGAAATGGTCTTTGGATCTTTGACTAGTGATAATAGAAAGGTATGCCTGCGGTGGCTCAAGTGGTTAAGAAGTGTGATCTGGAGTGTTCCCATGGCTGCTAGGATACCCAAACAGCTAAACACTGGACTCTCTAACCCTCTATTTCCAAATGGCTGATTATATCAAACAGCCCAAATTTATTTGTTTATGAATACATACTACAATACTGACCCACATATGAATGATCATGTGAACTGATGATGCAAATGTTCTGCGGATTAAAACACATCTTTAAAATGTGAGGATGGGAAATATCTTCAGCACTAGGTCTCCACTGCTCCATTTATCCTTGGATTCAAGTGGGTATGGTGGAGTCAGTGCCAGTTTTTCCACACGCAGCCAGCCCAACTGCATTGCCTGCCGGCACTAGGGACTCTCTTGTTGCATGAACTGCTGACAAAGAGAGAGACATGTATATATGTTGCTGTCAACTATAAGAACAGCGCTCTACAGAAATAGAACAAGAAAGAAAGAAAGAAAGAAAGAAAGGAAGGAAGGAAGGAAGGAAGGAAGGAAGGAAGGAAGGAA